TCCGCTGCCTATGACTTGATGCATAAAAGAAACAATAGAGAACCTATGCAATGCGTGTTTTAATTATCTCAATAGAAGTTTTTGGTTAGGAATAGGAGCTAATTAAAATTAATTATTGTTAAATCCCTATCGGATCTTTGAAAGACTATTTGAAGCTTACTAGCCGCCAAGCAAACAAAAAAATGAAATGCTGAATCGCATGTTTGACGTAGTGCCAACTAGTGACATATAGAAGAAACATGAAATTTTCAGATATCATTGTCGATTTCAGTCATCTCAGCCATAGGAATGTGAATCTGATTGGGTTGTTTTTCACTAATATATTCAATAGTCACGACGAGTCACCTACCCTAATCCACAAACACCATTGTTCTACTTATATCTTAAAGAAACTTCGCTGAGTGTGCTAGCTGCTGTATATAACTGATCTATTGCCGTCTCATATTTACATGAGTCATCGTAAGTATCTATTCTCACATACTTCTACATGCTCATTAGTTCTTATTCTGTGTTCTAGCTCAGCTCTTCATCATCACTTCTACCACAAAAACGTAGTTTTTGATGTTATCTATTATTGATTGCAAGTATTCATTTCTATATAATATCTCAGCTGAATTCACTTCTATTTCATCTTATAGTCCTCAATTCAGCAATTACAGCATAATTACACGTATATTTTAACTGACAATGGCTGGTTTCAAGTTAGAGAAAGAGAATGTTAAAAGAAAATTGGAACAAGTCATTTTGAGAACGTGTGCAAAGCCGAGGTTAGCCACATCATCATGATGGGATACATTCTTACGAATTAAAGATGACAAAGATAATATTACACTATTTCTACAATGTCTTAAATGTTCTTCAATTTTTTCTTATGAAGTTAATAAAATTGGGTCAAGTACACATAGATCACATGCGTAAAATTACTTGGAAGGTGGTGTTGCTAGTACAATTAGAAGTCAAGATATTAGTGTAATGTTTCGAAATTTTATGTCAATCTTTGTTAGATGTTGTACATAGGCATTCTCATCCAATTGATGTAAAATCTATCATCTTTGATCCGATCAAGATTTCTCGCAGAGTGCACAAATTAGCTGATGGTATATAAAATTAATCATTTCCTAGTTGAAATATTATTTTTTGTTTAGAACATCGTTTAGAATTAGTGAACACATTGTTGTCTGATCTGAAGAAAATAAAACTTTTCGGCGTGACGACTGATTTTGGAAAAATAAGTATTCTTCAGAGAGCTATTTCACGGTAACATTGCATTACAATAAAAATGGTTTCATGAAAAGTTTTGTATTGAAAATTGTTCTATTCAGTGATGCTGAAAACTGGTGGGAACTTAACTGCTTTGTCTCCAATCTATATCTTGATTTTCATGTTTCTAGAAAATACGAAAATAGTTCTGGAATATATTAAAATCATTTAGTATTAATCCCGATTTGTATGAAATCATTTATGTTATAGATAATGGTTCAAATCTAATTTCGGTCTTACGTGGTGAAGCTCACATTCGATGAATTTGTCACTGTATTACTTTAGTCGTTACAAAAAGTATTGAAGAATGCTCAACGATTGATGCACTTGTAACTAAATGTAGAGATTTAGTATGCCATTTCAAGATATGCAAGCTACATAAGCAAATTTCAACTACGTTTAAACAAGATATATGTACCAGGTGGAATTTCACGTATGATACGAGGATGCTGAAGATGTTTTAGTCAACCGAAATGAAAAAGTATATCTTACCGACATCAGTCGTTTATTGTTAAAAGACAGTATTGATACCGTCGGTATTTAAAACAGGGGTAGAAAAATTATCTGCCGATGATACTTCTACTTTGCACTCGGTGCTAGCATGGCTCGTTGTATTTAAAAAAAATTGTGAACCAAAAGATACAAATAAGTTATGTATCGGTCAATTGAAGAGAAAGCCCTTGGAGAAACTTAATGAAAGAATATGATTAACAGAAATGCACTACATTGCAACCTTTCTCCATGCCGAAACTAAGTCACTTCCAGTCAGTATAACATATCAGAAAATTTCTCAAATTCTTTACTCTCTTAGACATTAACTCAGGATGAACGTAATAATATCGTGCAATCAGTGAAACAAATCCTGAAAACAGTTGGAATCGATGAAAGTTCAACACATGTATTACATTTTCGTTAGTTTAAACTTAACGCTAACAGTTTTGAGTTAAAGTTAATATTAACGGTTAACCCTTTTAGTTAATTAACGCCGTACATTAACTCGGATTAAATTAAATGGTTCACCCCCAATAACCACTACCAGTGACAGATGATGATGAAACAACAAAAAGAAGAAACAAACGAGCCAAACGCGGTGGTATAAGCGTCGATGATGTTTTAAAAGAATTCTCTTCAAATGATGATTCATCAAGCATATCCCAAAAGCTAAATAACTTGTCGAAACGGTGAAGACGTCTTATCGTGGTGCACAAAGCATTCATGTATATATGCAATATTATCAACTTTAGCGCAACAATTACTTTCCATTCCAGCGAAACCACCAGCAGCGCGTGAAAAGCATTTTACGAAACTGAAACACTATCAGAAGCACGAAGATAGCAGCTGAACCCGATTCTCTTGACTCAATCGTGTTTTTAAGAAATGTTGGGTGATTTGCTTACTTCATTGATATGGAAAAAGAGCATTTTGTATTGTGCAAAATAATTTATTATGTGAAAGAAAAGATTCAAAAATTGATCTCGCTCACAACCTTTCACCAATAAACTAATAACAAAATTTTGACTCCAATCCAATCGGTACCGCTTAGCTACCGCCTATAATCGTCCCGCTCCCATTCAGGTAACGCCTGCAACCATCTGGTTCGGCTGCTTCCGGGAGTGTGGAAATCCTTCAAGAAGGCTCAAGCTATCGAAAGTTGCACCCCCGTATGACTCTGTCTTTCATGCCACACCATGTGACTAGGATGGTCTTACATTCCTGTCATTTCTCATGATTTACCATGTGATAGTACTCGTCTTTCACACTGCTCGTTGTTCTTCCAAAGGGATAACATGTTATTCGGGTGGCCTTCCACATTGGTCGTCCTCATTTTTCATGCCATGCCATTTTGCTGCGTTGGTCCTAAATAGCGGTCGTTCCAATTTCTCATGATTTACCATGTGTTATTCAAAGTCCTAAATAGTGGTCATTGTCATTTCTGATGACA